GGTAGTAGTCATCTCGATTTGATGAAAGAATGTATTAGTTGGTTGGTTGGTTGGTTGGGGTTTAACGTGGCTGTAAAGACAAGAAACTGTAGACCGCTTTACTTTCGCGAGCGTTTTAAATTCACGAGAAATGAATCTTTCGCGAAAGTAAATAGCTTGCGAAAATAAAGCGTAAGCACTGTGGAAGCACCAGGCTCGTTTACATAAAACATGTTATAATATTATTGAGTACGTAAACTTTGTGATCAAGATACGATCTTCAGCGTTAGACAGAGCAAGCGAGCTATTTTTTTAGGTTCTCTGCTACATAAGAGAGCGTAGATAGCTTGTATAAGTTCTTAAACGCTAGAGAACGTAAACGCGTGTCTGCTCCAATCGAGCGTAGCGCTCAAGCAAAGTGCGGTTGGGTCATGGCCTTGCTTTTATTTTCTGTCTTGCCCCGCGTGTGTGACACTGAGCTGCTTTATCGAGGTCAAAGTAACATAATAAGGTCACCGTCAGTAACGCATTTGTAAGTTTGTAGTTTTAACGGAGGAGGTGTTGATACTTGAGTGTTCCGTTCAAATGCAGGATAAATGAAGTTGATTTTTAGCCAACAAATAGATTTAGTTCTCGAAATCAATGTGACAAAAAGCGATTAAAAGTGAATGAACGGTTCTCACCAGCACAAAGATAAAATTAAAATCTAAAACTAAAATATAGGCAAATACCGTGTTATAGGCCTACAGCATCTCAGTCACTAAGCCCTTCACTATCTTCAACCAGCGATAGCGTAAGGGGCCGTTCGAAAACAATCTTACACCTTTTTGGGTACTTTATACCTCCTCCTCCCCCCTTCTTACACTTTTCTTACATTTGCCTCTTACGCCCGCCCCCTTCCTGTAATATTACATTGTTCACTTATTATAATAATTTGGCATTTATATCAGGCAATTCCGTGTTACAATCATTGTTTTATGCGCTTTACATAATATTCATGAAAACCATGCATATACTCATACATGCACATAATAATATCTGCAGTTCTACATTCACAAAAAAAATCCCCAGAGTAAATCATTCAAGCA